AAAATCTTTAAAAAAAAAAAAAGAAATCTTTACTTTTTTTTTTTTTTAAAGCAATATAAAGTTAAATATTAGCCCACACACTTTTTAAAAACATACGCAGAGATGTGGTGTCTTTAGAAAATCCAATTATCTTAAACAGGAGAAAATTTTACCATTAAGTTTGATGGTGTTTCTTCAAATTTCAAGAATATGGGTGCATTGATAATAGTCTCCAGCCTGGTAACTCAGAGACATGGGATCTCAGATCACTAATGCTACTGAAATCCTTCATCTGGGGTACACTGCTCACATAATTGTTCAGCTTTAAAAGACCCATTAACTGGTAGCTAGAGAGAGTATCATTAATACTTGTTAAGGAACCTGTATGTATTTTGATGCAGTGTTGTTTTAAACAAAGGAGCAGAGAGCTATTTTGTTCTGTTTTGTTTTTTTGAGAACCTATAAAACTTTTGGACTTGTAAAAATATTTCTCATAGTATTTCCTACTCAGAGTGCTGTGTATATGTAATTTTAAAAATATACTGCTGATTTAGCAATCAAATATGCGTATCATGTGTTCTACAAATATAAGATTGAAGACTCAAATGAAGGCATGGTGGGTATTCAGAAATAGTAATTAAGTAGGGGGGCCTGGGTGGTTCAGCCAGTTAAGCCTTCGACTCTTGGTTTCGGCTCAGGTCCTGATTCAGGGTAGCGAGGCTGAGCCCCAAGTCAGGCTCCGCATGGAGTTTGCTTGAGATTCTCTCTCCTTCTCCCTCTGCCCTTCATGCTTGTGTGCTCTCTCTCTCTCAAATAAATAAATAAATCTTAAAAAAAAAAATAAGTAATATTTTAAAAGTCTGAGCTCTTTATAAGTAAATAATGTACTTTTATTACATAGCCTAAGCCAGATGATTAATATATGGGAAAATATATTCCATAAAACCATGAATACCAAAAGTCTTAAAATTATTAGTTTGATTTCAAAGCTATAGGGAAATAAATCACTAAAGATCAGAAATTTCAAAGCACCTAATTTGGTCTATGTTTCAGGATTTATTCCAAGTCTTTAATAAATTGAAAATTATTTAAGATTTAAGTCTGATGCTTAAAACCCCTATTCTGCTCAGAAGATATATACTTGTACATTTTTTTCTATCTTAAGATTCCCCACTTTTCATTTTTATAGAATAAAACACAGATAAAGTTAATAATGAGGTGCTTTGTAAATCTTACCCCTGTCAGCAACCCCAACAGTTTTACTGCAACCTAGTAAATTAAGAGAACATAAGAGGGAAATCAAATAGTGCTGTTTTTCCTTCCCCAGTTCAGCAAATATAAGTAACAACTCTACATAAAAACAAATCAAATTGGGTATGTGAATGAGAACCTACGTAGCTTCTTGCAATTACCTAAGTTACACAGACAAATGGAAACTTTCATCATACAAATTCTGACGAATACAACTGTCCAAGCCTCCACAGTGAGCCATTCTAAATTTCATCTTGGCCACCAGTCCAGTGTAGGACACAGGGTAAAGCTGGGTGGGGAAGGCCCCATAATGGTCCGTGATTTGCTACAGAACCTAACTCTCAAATCCCACAGAAACGTTTCTTGCAGTCCTAATAGCCACGGCCACTCTGCACAGAGTCCTCTGACTGCAGGGGCAGTAAGAGCAACCTGAGGTCGTTTCAGTAAACACATGCAACCAGGATGGTGCGCTCATGCAGGCACAGTTTCGAAAAAAAGACGGTATGCAGGACAAACAGAAAAGCTGCACAAAATAACATCAAGAGTGAGAAGGACCATGAGTTAGTTAGAAGGAACATGCTTTTATTTACCCTTTCTTCTTGTGTCGATAAAATCTGTACAGGATGCAGCCAAGTAGTACAAGGCCAGCAACTACAAGAAACCAGGAAACAAATAATATATAACTGAGAGCTGCTTGTCAAGATTCAAAATTTAGCAGCAGAAATCAGTAAGTGTTGGTTGCATTTCAGTAGTTAGAAAATGTTATTTTATTTAAGCACATATCTATTTATATTCCATCTGGACTCTTTTACTATCTAAAACCCATTCCCTGGGGTCACTTGAATAGTCCACAGGAAGCCAGAGAAGAATCCTTGCTTAGTTTAGAAAATTATCAAAGCATCTTTGGGATGCAAACTCATGACCAATTATCCTGAAAACACATGTAGTATTTAGGATTTGTTACAGAGTGGACATGTACAGTATAAAAGAATATACATTCACCAGCAAAATGTAGTGTATCATATACAAGGTCAGGCTATTCTAGACTGGTGGACTTCATTTCAAGCTATATAAACTATAGAAACTGAAAAGTTAAATTAAAAATCATTTAATTAAATAAATTTTAAAATAATGCACTTTTTCAGAGTAATACTTTTATTTAAGTGGCATCAAAGTTTGGGCTACTTACGAACAGAAAGAACAATCACAGCGGTGATTCCTTTGCCTGGGAAAAAAATGAACAGTTTGAAGATTGTCCCCGAGGTTCCCGAGTATAGTTGCATTTAATTTTGATCAGATCATCTATACGCTACAGCAAAGAAGTTCTTCCTCAGTCTAGTTTTAGCGTGAGCACTAGTTCTGATCACAGAACCCTTGGAATCAGATCCTACGTTCAGGCTCCACCTTGTAAGACTTCACTTTTGACTGTTTTGTGCTGTAGTTACCATATCAGGTTAGTACAGCTTACTAGGACAATTAGAATTCAGTAGTAGATTAGAAGAAAACGGTTTCAAAATGTATTACTCCATTAGAGTTGGTTTCGTTCAGTATTCATTCTATCATTTGTGATTTTGGTAGAAATTCCTATTTTTTACACAAAAATGGGGTCTGTGGACTAAGTCATAAATAAAGTTTCACCCATCTATCACACAGATGTTAGCTGCCGAATCTTCAAAATCATACTTTATCTTATCAACAACCCCTTCTGATCTTCCACCCCCGAACACCAAGACATAATCCTTATTACCAAGGAGAGTCTAAGTATGTAAATGAAACACCAGGGCACATGGATGCAAATAATGCATAGAAACTTAAACATGCATTTTTGACTACCCAGAGAGAAATAAATACATACTACAAAATCTTAATTCTTAGCAATGATGTCAGGAATACCTCTGCTTCTAAACTGCCATTATTTATGTTAAATTTCTGGAAGTCAAAGCATAAAACGTCATGTTTAAGTCTGATACAAATAAAAGTAATAGACAATTCCCTTCATTTACTTATCAAGAAATCTTTAACTGTCACAACTATACTTTTTTTCATTTTCTTTAACATACATTGTGTGAACTATGTGAGCCTACAAAAAGTTTGCCACACCAGCATGTTACAGAAAAAATTAATCCAATCTATAGTACTTTAAGGCTTATGTATACAAGGGACAAGTAGAAAGAAAATTGATCTACAAATTCATAAAAAAATAACACTACCATATGGATAGCAAGTTATGTTGTATGTATTTTAACCTATATGTAATCATAGAATTTAAGAAAGGTACCTCACCCTACTAGGAATCCGATTTGGGGAGGGGGACCTCTTAAAAACTATATTGTCTGCATGTACTCACACATACTGCTGCTTACATCTGCCATGGTATCTACACTATTAAAATAACTCCAAATGTCAATTTTTACCAATTTGTGGCACACACACTGTTTCTTCTCTAACTATAAGTAATTGAAATATGGTATTTACATGTAGAACTCTAGGGTCTAATAATGCAAGGCTATTAATAACCAAAATAGTACCTAAAGTCTCAGTGTCTTCAGGTGTTGATTCATCACCAGGACTTGGGGGAGGTCCTAGAAAAAAAAAATGGAAATTAAAAAAAAAGAGAGAGAAATAAAGTTTAAAGACCTCTAAATTCATAGGTTTTGATTTTTCACCTTTGTTTTTTTTTTTTTAAAGATTTTATTTATTTATTTGACAGAGAGAGAGATAGTCAGAGAGGGAACACAAGCAGGGGGAGTGGGAGAGGGAGAAGCAGGCTTCCGCGGAGCAGGGAGCCCGATGCGGGGCTCGATCCCAGGACCCCGGGATCATGACCTGAACCAAAGGCAGACGCTTAACGACTGAGCCACCCAGGTGCCCTTTGATTTTTCACCTTTGTATAAAAACCCTTGTAATTTCCTTTTCCTTATATAAATGAATGTTTCCCATTAAAGGTAGCATCATAATATATTATAAATTTGTATGTGATCAGCATTCTTCTTGTCCAGTAATACTTCCTGTGACAATATTCTGTGGTACAGTAGGGCAACTGTATCCTAAGTGTACTGTTAAACTTATGGATTTAATTAAAATTATGGATTCAATGTGATTCTACTTAGAAGTAAAAATTTGGGGGGCTTAATAAACTATTTAGATATTGATCTGCAATAGAAGGAAACTTCAACATGATGAAGGCCATTTATGAAAAGGCCATCACTTGCATCATACTCAATAGTCAAAGACTGAAAGTTTTTCCCTTAAGATCAGGAACAAGACAAGATACCTGTGACTTCCACTTCTATTCGACATAGTATTAGAAGTTCTAGTCAGAGCAATCAGGCAAGAAAAATAAAAAGCATCCAAATTGGGAAGGAAGAAATAACATGATCCCTGTTCCAGATGACATGCATAACCTTTACATAGAAAACTCTAAGGATCACACACATCCCTATTAGAATAAATGAATTCAGCAAAGCTGAAGGGCACAAAATCAACACACAAAAATCAGTTGTATTTCTACACACTAACAATGAATAATCCAAAAAGGAAATTAACAATCCCATTTATAATAGCATCAAAAACAAACAAAATACTCAGGAATAAAACAAGCAAAAAGGTGAAAAACTCACACACTGAAAACTACAAAACGTAGCTGAAACAAACTGAAGATATAAATAAATGGAAAGACATCCCATGATCATGAATTAGAAGACTTAATATTATTAAAATGTTAATACTACACAAAGCAATCTACAGAATGAATGCAACCCCTATCACCATCTCAAATATGCATTGTTGCGGAAACAGAAAAAAAAACCCAACTATAATTCATATGGCATCTCAAGGGACTAAAAACAGCCAAGATAATTTTGAGAAAGAAGAGCGAAGTTGGGGGGACTCACGCTTCCTGATTTTAAAACTTACTACTACAAAGCTACAATAATCAAAATAGAGAGGTACTGGCACAAAGACAGACACACAGACCAATGGAACAGAACAGAGAACTCAAAAATAAACCCTTATGGGGTGCCTGGGTGGCTCAGTCGTTAAGCGTCTGCTTTTGGCTCAGGTCATGATCCCAGGGTCCTGGGATCGAGCCCTGCATGGGGCTCCCTGCTCGGCGGGAGCCTGCTTCTCCCTCTCCCACTTCCCCTGTTTGTGTTCCTGCTCTCACTCTCTCTCTGTCAATAAATAAAATCTTAAAAAAAAGATTCAAAGTGAGATGATGAAAACATTTTGGAGATACAGATAGTTCTGATGGTTGCAAACAATGTGAATGTACTTCATGCCACTGAAATGTACATTTAAAATGGTTAAAATGATAATATAAGTTTATTTAGAGAAATTAACACACAAGGGCACCTGGGTGACTCAGCCGGTTAAGCATCTGACTCTTGATCTTGGCTCAGGTCATGATCTCAGGATGGTGAGATGGAGCCCCACACTGGGCTCTGTGCTCAGTGGGGAGTCTGCCTGTCCCTCTCCCTCTGCTACTCCCCCTACTCGCTCTCTCAAATAAATAAATGAATAAAATCTTGAAAAAATTAACATACAGAAGTCTAAACATTTCTGAAAAGGAAGTGTTCTGCCAGATATTAAAACATATCATGGGGCGCCTGGGTGGCTCAGTTGGTTAAGCGACTGCCTTCGGCTCAGGTCATGATCCTGGAGTCCCAGGATCGAGTCCCACATCAGGCTCCCTGCTCGGCAGGGAGTCTGCTTCTCCCTCTGCCCCTCCCCCCTCTCATGTGGTCTCTCTCATTCTCTCTCTCTCAAATAAATAAATAAATAAATAAATCTTTAAAAAAAAATATCATACTATACTATGTAAAAAATTAGTACTCTAAGTAAAAAAAAAAACGATTTGGTGCTGGCACAGGAATGCAGAGCTCCAGGGTACAGGAGAATGACCAGAACACCCATGAATTTTATAATATAATAAAAATTGGTACTTGAAAATAGTTGGAGAGAGGACAACTTATTCAACAGATGTTCCTACTTCGCCACTGAGTGGGGGTGAGGGTGGGGGTGGGTGGGGTGGAGAGGAGCCCTGTCTCACTCCATATACCACAATGAATTTCAGATGCAACAACAACTTAAATGCAAAGAATGCAATCAGATGTATGGTTGAAATGATTATATGTTTCAGCATGGGGAAAACCTAAAGCCTTTATAAAAAAGACAAAACACACATAGTCATCAGGGAAAAGATCAATATACTCAACTACCTGTTAATATAAAACTTTTACACATGTAAAAGGCCCCTAATGGGAGAATAGTTTATATAAACTGTGGCATATCTTTTTTTTTTTAAAAGATTTTATTTTATTTATTATTTGAGAGAGAGAGAGAGCACAAGCAGGGTGAGGGGCAGAGGGAGAAGCAGACTCCCCGATGAGCAGGGAGCCCATTGTGGGGCTTGATCCCGGGACTCCAGGATCATGACCTGAGCTGAAGGCAGACACTTAATTGACTAAGCCACCCACATGCCCCCAAACTGTGGCATATCGTAAAGTCACCATTAAAAAGGATGGGATATAATAAATCTGAATATAACCCTAATCCAGGAAGTGGGAAAAGTGCAAGTTTCAGAAAAATATGAACAGCATGATGCCATTTTTATTCAAGAATGAAGAAAATGAACACCAAAATATGTATAACTACACAGAAAAGGATGCTTATGTACAGAAATAGATAAAAAGACACCCTAAACTATTAAGTGATTAACTCAGGTAATGGACTAGAGAAAGAGAGTAAGAACCCATCTTTTATGCTATATACTTTTGTAATGTTTGAAATTTTATAAACATATTCATATACTTATATATTAAAATTATAAAAAGCAATCTATATCCAATAGTATAAAAATCTTAAAAGCAATCTGACTAGTAAAATTAAGGCAAAGAAAAAAACCTAGAAAAAACTGTTCACTTCATGTTAACAGGGCTTTCATTTATAATGAGTTCTGACAAATCAACAAGAAAAATATTGCAGAAACCTAATAGAAAAATGAGCAAAGGACATGAATAAATTAAAGTAGACCAAAAAAAGTTCAGCTTCACTGATAATTAAGGAAATGCAAATAAATATATGACATCATTTTTAACCCATCACCTTATAAAGCTTTTTTTTCCCCTGAAGATTTATTCATTTGACAGAGAGAGAGAGAGTACGGGCACAAGCAGGTGGAGTGGCAGACTCCCCACTGAGCAGGAAGCCCAATGCGGGACTTGATCCCAGGACTCTGGGATCATGACCTGAGCCGAAGGCAGACGCTTAACCATCTGAGCCACCCAGGCGCCCTTAATTTTGATTTTAAAAAGATTATTTCTCAAAGTGAAAAATACTTACCTTTTAAACTTTGTAATTCTATTTCTGGGAATTTAAGCTAAATATCTATTTGCACAAGTACATCAGAATGTATGCCTAACAATGTTCGCCATAGCTTTGTATTTTAAAATGGAAATCCCGGGGCGCCTGGGTGGCTCAGATGGTTAAGCGTCTGCCTTTGGCTCAGGTCATGATCCCAGCATCCTGGGATCGAGCCCCGCGTCGGGCTTCCTGCTCAGCAGGGAGCCTGCTTCTCCCTCTCCCTCTGCCTCTCTCCCTGCTCATGCTCTCTCTCTCTCTCTGTATCTCTGTGTCTCAAATGAATAAATAAATAAAAAAAAAAAAATCTTAAAAAAAAAAAAATGGAAATCCCAAAAGTTAATTGACAATAAATCACACAAATAATGGAGTTCAGAGATAGCAACTCTGAAATCTGGAAGATATTTCCTTCCAACCATAGCAAAATAACCTTTCAGTTCTTAAGCAGAGTAGCTTATCAGCAGAACTGGCAAGAAATCCTCCATTTCATTTCAATGAATAAGAACTACTCCTGTCTTTCAGTGGCTATGAAATCTATTTTCTACTGCTAAATAAAAATGCCCAGTAAAAAGAAAAGAATAAATGTATGAGACAAGGAGTTTGGTGGGGGTGGGGAATGGAAATATAGGTCTTATTCTGGAGATAGCAGAAATGTCCCACTTTAAACTGTGCTACAAAAACAAAACAAAACAAAACCAACACCACCACCACCACCACCACTACCAGCACCAACACCACTACCAACACCAACAACACCACCACCAGCACCGACACCAACACCAC